TACAAATTTTTCACTATTGACTTTCTACCTTACAATTATTTAAATGCAATTAAGTATAAAAGACAAATAGTAACTCAAAAATAAATAAATTGCCTCTTTGAGGCAGACACCAGCAGAAAGGCTATATGAAGAGCAAAAGAAGTAGGTGCAATATTTTCAAAGTGCAAAACTGAACAGTAGAAGAAACTCAGCTCCCTTCCCACTTATACATATGGTATTCCTCATTCACAGAATCCCAGCCTCTGACACTTACATTCCTGTCCACTCCCCCTTACTAACAGCACAGATCCCCTAATTTTACCCTCTTAGTGAGGTTTGCCCTCTTCTCCTTTTCTTCAACTCCATGGCATTCTGCCACCTTTGCCTAGAGTTCTCACAGGTTTCCACCCTTCAGCATATACATACTCTACCCTTCTTTCTAGCAGAGCCACCATAGGTTCAATGTCACGAAGTGTGCCTATCTCCCACTTCCTCATCCTACTCTGTCTCCTTTCTTTGCGTATATAGCCTCCATCCCCTGAATAAGGCTCCTCCTGTTCTCAAAGCAAGACTCATAGGTGCCTCCACTTTTTTGATGCATATTGCAATAACTAGAGGCATCCTCAGACACGGCTAATTTTATCTGGATTTTAACTTTTGACATTTACCTCGAGAATTTAGCACATAAAAGTAAATCAAAGTAATTCACTTAACAATGATGGAAACTCACAGACAACTAACTGGCAAACAGAAGGAAGGAGAGGAACAGAAAGCAAGATTAGATTATGAAAATATAAAATAAGCCTTTTACTGGTTGTAATTTTGTTATAAAAATCCGGGCTTGCATCTACCCTCTCTAGCCCCTTACCAAATTTTGCCATATCCCATTGCTTCCCCACAGCCTTCCACTTTCAATTACCTTTGTTTATTTTGAATTTGCTTCTGGCCATTAGCATTCTTCTTTTCTACATCAAATGGGCTATAAGGTCGTGGATTAAAATAGTTGATAACAGGAAAGCTGGGTAGTTGCAAGTAAAATGGCCTGTAGTGACTATAAAAAAAAAAAAAAAAAAAACAGCCATCTCAGTGCTATTGAGCATAAACATGAAAAATAAATAAATAGCTATTCACTGCAATGTAATATGTTATCTGCCGTGAATATCATACGATCATATTCATAACCATAAAACAAACCATGAAATGATAAGATAATTCCTTATACTGCAATAAGGCCATTTATTAAAACTCAGCATGAAGACTACACCTAAGACACTCATTATTTTGCCTACAGGCTAATTATTGGATATTCGAACACTAACTTAATATATTATTGCAATAGTAATACAAAAAATACAATTATTACACTGTGATTATAACAAGACCCTTGATTCCCAACTTGTTTTGACAAACTGGAAAGGCTAAATCAGCAGTCCTCAAACATTTTCAATAGTTGAAAGGCTGTGCTGTCCATTGCAGGCTGGTGAGGTGGGGGTGCCTGGGGGAGCGGGCTGGTGAGATACCATCAGGCACGTGTGGTGGTGGCTCGCTACCTTGGAGATCTCCCAGCAAGTCCAAAACCATCTCCAAGTGAGCAAGCCACCACCTCCCTGCCTACACTGCGAGGCAGCGGCAAAAGCGCACATACGGGAGGCGGCTCGCTCGCTCAGAGACCATCTCCGAGTGAGCAAGCCATCGCCTCCCCACCTGCGCAGCAAGCGTGCACGCGGGCGGCGAACAGTGGCATGGGCCAGATCTATCCCGTGGGCCGTAGTTTGAGGACCCATGGGCTAAATAATGGACTTTGAATAATGTGTGCAAAACTGCAGTGCAATCCTGCTGTATTGTTGTATTAAACTTGCTTTGGTAAAACATTCTTAACCATTTTTATTGTATCAGAAAAGCAACAGGTTAGAACTATTGCATAAAACATAATCACGCCAGCTATGCCACTGCTTCAGGCTACAATCTTTTACCTAGGAGTAAGTTCCACTGAACTCATTCGGATGATTTCTGAGTAAAATATGTATAGGATCGTACTGTTAGTAAATGAAGAACTTTTGTCTGCAGAATTTGACGGACAGTTTTGAAAAAGGCCTAGTCACATGATTTCTAGCTCTCACATTTGCCATACTCACATCACACAGTAATCCACCAAAGCAAAAAAAAAAAAAAAAAGAAACAAAAAAGTGTCCTCGGTAATTTCAAGGTATAGTAATGTAAAGAACAAGGTTGACTGCTTTGCAGTCTTAATCTATGTTTAAGAGTCATCTATGCCTTGTTAAGTGGCACTTACTTGCAAGCAGTATGCAAGTAGCCTGCTTATCACTTCATAATGTAAAGCTACTGCACAATGTACGCAAGTTCAATGTAACTTATGAAGAGTTACTTGGTGGAACGTAAGGATTACTTTGAGCGAACGTATATAGGATTATATGATCTCTGATTCTTGTTGCCTCTCCCCTCATAGTACTTACAGAAACAGCAATGATCAATTCTGCTTATGAGGGCAGACTCATATTTCAGTTAAAGAGAAAGGAAGAAAAACAAATCGTTTGGGGGATGACATTACTGGGACAAGGAAGAGTGAAATCAATTGCTTTGAAATATAGCCACTGCTCATGTAGCCTGGATGAATTCAGCAAGTGTACTACTACTAGTGTGAAAATGAAGAGTTGAGATGGGGTGGTCAATCAAAGCAGAGGTAAAATCAGGAGCCACCTACTTCTGTTTCCACTTTGCCTGAATTGCAGCAATACACAATGAACTGGTTTGCATGATCATCACAGCCCACCATAGCTTATTTAAACCATGATGGACTGAGGAATGGGCTGGGTGGAATTTGAATATGCAAGCCATAATGAGCATAGCTTACTGTGTCTTCCAAACCCAGCAGGGATGGATTGTACAAGGCCTAAACAATCCTTCCATAACTGAAAACAGATAATGGTGGGCTGCAGTGATTGTGCAACTGGATCATTCTGTATTGCTCTAGTCCAACCAGCACAGAAGCAACATGGCTGCTGCTATCACCTCTCTCACTGGTTGTCCTGTCTCATCTAAGTAGTGCTTCAGAAAATTCAGGTCAAGAATAAGCCTATCTCATTCACCCAGAAAAATGTAGACACATGAAACAAACTGCCCACACATAATTTGATTCTCCTGCTTTCTATACCATTCCTTTGTTCTGGACTGCTGGCACATAATACTTCCAGATAGACTGTACTGTACAATTCAGCAATCAGTTATTCCCTCTAATTTGTCTCTCTTCAAATTCTATTCCTACTAGTAGGAAAAATATCCCAACTTTGGGAAATTCTTGTCCTATATACTTTTTATTTGGTTAAGTCTTTAATAAACCATTCGATTAGCAACAGCTCTCAGAACAGTGAACAATTAAAACAAACATAATAAACATACAATATATCACAATGCAGTTATCTACATTGGAATATAACACCAATCAACAGCAACCATAAATAATAGTAATAATGCATAATATGAGAACAAAACCAAATCACAACATGCCAATAATATACAGACTAGTATAAAATACTATAACATAACCATTAATACTATATTATCTAACAATTAAAATGCTGGGAAAATAAAAGGTTTTAGCCAGGCACTGAAATATACAAAAAGTCAGTGCCAGGTGTATCTCCCTGTGGTGCCAATTCCATTTTGAATCAGTATTTAAATATTTCTTATACTATCCATACATACAAAGTTTACAACTGCTAAATGCATGCTTTCTTGTGGTGCTTCAGTCTGAGGGGAATAGGAGACAAATAGTACTTGCTAAAAATTACAGGCATCTTAAAAAGCAGTTATATATAGCCTTCCTTAAGATCAATGCAGCAGTTTCTTTGAAGATGTCTGCATCTTTCAACATTTGACGGAGAACTCTAAGCAGGTAAGAGACAGTGTTGTTCCTTAAAAACAAATCACTTAGGATACTTATTTTGTGCTGACCAGGGAAATTTGTATCTGAAGGTACAAGCACATTGTTTCATACCTATTGCCAAACATAGCGGCATACAATACCTAAAGAACTAATGAAACAAAACTTTTCCCAGGGGACAAGCAAGGTCACTGTGTTAAGTGGCAGACGATATGCTACAAGTTCTGCATAAATTAGAAGCTGGGAAGGCAGGCAGCTTCTAATTATAAGCAGCACTGTTGCCAGATGAGCACAGAACTTTTTGGCACAGGACCACCATCCATAAACAACAAAAGAAAACAAATCCATTCTAAGTTGAATGACTACACTAGAAAAATCCAGATTTCAAAATAAACTTTTAAAGAAGAGAAGGTGCAAGAGCAGCTAGCAGGAGAATGATGCTCATTAAAAACTGGTCAAGATGGGAGAAGCCCAAGAGCTTGTTCACGAAGTCCAACTGTCCCACCAGCTCAGCTGTTGTTAGGACTGTCAATTTATAATGTTACTTTTCAAGGAAAACACTCTTACAGCTTTAGTTTTCCACTGATTTTACCAGGTCATTCACAAGCACAATTTAAGTGTCATGCTGGTAGCTGAGTAGCCACAGCTTTCGACCACACCATGGACCCCAGGGTTCATAGTTGGACCAAATTGCTTTCCACCGCTCAGAATCTTTCTGCCAAACAGGCATGTGGATCTGCAGCAATCTCAAAAAGTTCCCACATGGTAATATGTCCCTTGCAAGGCAATTCAGAAGTTCTGGTGCCTGAATTCCACATCTTCTCCAACAACACAGGATTACTTACACATTACTGTTAACATGCATATAACACCTTCTGCTAAAAAGCCATCGAGGTGCTATACAAAAAATTCACACACAGTAAAAGAATAAAAGACAAAAAGAATAGAACACTGTATTTAAAAAGATAATCAATAAAAAGGTGTCTGCTCATCCAAGCAAGGCTTCCTAGAATATTTTTTTACAGGAGCCAGAAACAACACAATGTTGGTGTCTGCCTGACCTCCAGAGACAGGAAGTTCCACAGAAATGGAGCAGTCACACTAAATCCCCTTCTCTGGATAGCCTCCAAATGGGTTGAACTTCATGACCAAGCAGATTAAAAGGAAGAAAACAATCTCCTAAGTTGTTTAGGGCTTTATGTTCCAGTAGTGAGCAGACAGCAGTTCCCACAGCAAAGGAACTGAATGCTGAAAAGGGGCAGCTCCTGTCAACAGCAAAGCCGCTGCATTCTGCACTTGATCCTGCTTTCAGAGTAGGCTTAAGGAAAGCCCTATATAACATACTTTGCCCTCATTCAACCCATCACTGAGTCTAGGCACTGATCCAGGACTGATTCAGATGTCACAGGGAGCCAGTGTTGTATGTCATCAGCATACTCATTTCCCTTGACTCCAAATGCCCTAATGATTTCCCCCCAGCAATTTAACACAGATATTGAACAACATTTAGAATGAATACCCAGCAGAACTGCACACCTGAATTGTCAAGTGGCCAAATACTGTTCTCTGAAATCAACTTTGCAGGTAAGACCAGAGCCAGGGTAACACCATGCCTCCAATTTTCAGTCTACAAAGCTGATCTATGGTTGATCGTATGAAAAGCTACTGAGAGAACTAACAGTAATTAATAGGCTTCTATGCCTCCATTCCTCCCACAAATAACAGTAATACATCAAAGGCATCAAAAGCTGATTTGGTCCTGCAACCAGGATGAAACCCAGACTGGAATAGCTCTAGATAATAATATCTTCCAATGCTCTCAAGTACCTTCCGTAAGAAAGAGCATTTGCCATTGAGAGGTAGTTTTAAAGTACCATTAGGTTCAAAGTAGGTTACTTCAGGAGTGGTTGCACTACTTCTTCCTTAAGGGCAGCATGAACCAACCCTTCATACAGAAATAGATTTACCACCACAGGGACCCACCCAGTCAAACTGCCTTGACTAGCTTTTATTAGCCTAGAAGGGCAAGGATCAGAGCCATGTGATTGGCCACAATGTTTTAAGCACCTTGCTCAGGTCAAAAAGGGCAGCCCCTCCAAGTTCTCACAGGGCATGCTGAAGGGGCAGTTCATGTTTATTACTTAAAGGGATAGCAAAGGGCAGCTCTGCAGCTAGCTTTTGTCACCCCAGGGCAGCCACAATGAGCCAAAACCAGCTTACAATTGTAGTTGACAGAGGAAACTCATTCCTCCTCCTAGTATCCTCTTGGATATTGGGGAAAGGAACAAAGCACCCACAATGAGCCTGATTATCTGCCAGGCTCATCATACATACTTCAAAAAACAACCAACCCACTCTGGTCACTGTATCATGCAAACTTAGTCACCAACCTGACTTACAAATACAAACAGTATGCATACAAGAAATAGAATTTAGAAAAAACGGAATGTACATAGTAAGGAGAAACTGAAATACAACTGAAAACTTAGTTTGAAAAACCACAGGATACTAAACAAATGATGTTATAACAAATAAAATTACTATTACCACTACCACAGCTGCAAAACTGTCCACTTTCCTGGGAGTAAGCCCCCCCCCCCACCGCTGGACTTAGCAGACACACACATAGGATTGTACTATGACACACAAACATACATATATAGAAAATGACTGAAAGACAAGGAATTAACAGGATCTGAATTTAAAAAGTTTCTTTCCTCCCTTAATGTGGTAAGAGGTAAACTTCTAAGTCTTAAGAGAGACACACAAATCAAGAGAAAGATTAGAAAGAAATAACAGCAAAGATCAGTTAAGATCATGAGACAAACCAATAATCTGAAAAGGAGAAAGAATAAAAGGGGAATCAGTATCAGGAAGAAGCTACTAAGAAAAACAACAAGCTGCTTACAGCTAAGGCACTGACAGCAACTAGAACTAAGGGAAGAAGCATTCCCTTTTAATGAAAGTCACAAGTAGCCCTTCCCATAAATTCCCAAATAAAACAGAAGGAAGACCTGCCAATCCCAGCAATTAAGGGGGTAAAAACAACCAAAATGAGGATCTAGATTCTCTTCTGGCCACTTCAGAGAGAAGCCTATTTCACCCAAGGAAGTCCAAGGGGGCCTGATTTAGTTTGGGTCAAATCTAAATACACATCTTTACTGCATAGTTTCATTTTCTATTTCCCTTCAATTAGTTTTGTTATCTTCTTTCTTATGTTTATGTAAATCAAATATATATTCAGGAATTCTAACATAGTGTGCGATCCAAACACAGAGAAAAAACATCAAAATCAATAGGACTTAATTTAGTCTGGATCCAACTGAGAATATAGTTCTATACAGTTTTCCTGCAGATTGATTAAACCATCACTACATCTAATGTTATCAACAAATGGGAAGATAAAGAACCCAGATTTTATTTTTTTGGAAATGTGTTGAAGTGAGACATTAACTCATTTGAAAATAGCACTTACCACTTTCTATCCTCTACTTTCAGAAAGGGAGTTTTCAGTCTACCTGTGCAAAAGAATTTAGGTATTTTTAAACTTTTCATTATACTCAAATTATAGTAACATGCTTGTTTCAAAAATAACTAACAAGCAGCTTCCATGTATACTTTGTATAGAATCATTCTGTATTTGAATAATCTTGCCTAAAATAATCCATCAATACTTCTCTTCTGTGTTTAGCAAAATAGGTAATAATATCAGTCATGTCTTGAATACTTACTTTTTGTTTTGCGATCAGTTGATTCTTTCTCCTGTTTAAGAGAAACATTGCTGTGAATATTTTACTCACTGAACACTGCATTTGCTTCAAATTCTTATAGTTGAATACAGGTGCAGGAAAATAGCCTTGTTAATTGCACTACATTTGTGAGGTGTGATCCATTAAAAATGGATAGAACAGGGCTCATCTTATTTTGCAAGGCTCTCAAATTATAGTTTAAGACAGCTAAGTTTTATTCCTGTACTGTTAACATATTTGAAATGGGCACATTCAGAGCAAGGATTAAGGTTAGGATGAGAAAGATGAGGTTTCATGAGGTTTTGAAAAAAGTCATCTCCCTGCATATTCTTATTAGGTTTATATATAGTTTACCGTATTTTAAAAGCAGTCACACTGAGACTATACCATTAAACAGGGATATTTCAGGAAGAAGGAAAAACAAAGGTATTCTTTTTTATCATTCTAAACCTGCCACTATAAAGGAAAGGGCTTTCACATTAACTGCTAGCTAATCTTTTGAACCAGCGCTTTTTATACAAGAAAAAGTGTAATCAAAGTCCAAGCATATCTACCTCTCTTGTTCAGGTGAGGCAACTGATGTTTTAAACTTGCCTTGGGCATATTAATAACTAGATGAGACCAGTAAACTGAATTTCCATCCAGATACCAGAGATAAATTGGTTGTAGGTAGGTAGTTTAAGTATAATTTACTTAATTCTGGAACAGGATCAAATCATAGTTTGGAGGAGTTCTTGGATTCATCATTGTCACTGAGGTGCAGGTGGTCTTGGTAGATAAGGGCACCTATCAACTCAGGTTAGTTAGACCAAAGTGGACAGATAGGCATGTGACAGTTATTTCAATAACCTCCGATTTGCACTATTGCAATACATGAGGCTTTCTTTGAAAATAGTCTGCAAATGTCCTTAGTCCAAAACCAGGTAGCTACACAGTTAACTTGAACTGACCAATACAATCAAACATGACATTACTGTGTCATCTACACAGGCTGACATTTTTGGCCCAATTACAAGTGCTGCTTTTAATCCTCCTGGAAGTATGTGAAAACTGTGAACAATAACTTTTTTAATGATACTGGAACTAGCACATAAGTATTTTTGCCAAGGTCTTTCAATCACATACATGATAAAAGGTAAATGTTTAAGAAGTCATTTGTATACAGTTTTTTTAAAATATTTTCTTCTGAAATAAGGAAGCGTACTTACCACATCTTTGATTTCTGCACTTGCTTTCTTTATCAAAGAGAGATGGTTTTTCTTTTGATCAATATAATTCTTAATATCTATTTCAGAAAAAAATAGGAAATTAAAATTATGAGACATTATCTAACATCCTAAAAGAACTGACAAAATACTTTAGTGATCAAATAAGCATTAGCTTTATTTAAATATACTTGCCATCAACATGAAGTATTTTCACTCCCCAACTCAAAGCATTCGATAGTATACTACCTGATGGGATTAATTCCTGAAAGACAAACATTTAACCCTTTCACGTTTTAAATATTTCAGCATGGATATGTGTGAATTTATTTATTTAAAACATTTTTATGCCATCCCCATCACAACGAAGCCTTGGGGCGGCTCACAACAGAAACAAAATACATAAATAATAACAATGTAACAATAAAAAAATTATTTAAAAACCCCTGGTGCATCTTGGCTAAAAATTTAAAATCCTATAAATACAAATAATTTAACAATTAAAATAAGTTTTAAATAAAAAGGTCTTAGCCTGGCACCGAAAAATAAATAACGACGGCGCCAGGCGGACCTCTCTGGGGAGCGCATTCCATAGATGGGGCACCACCAGAGAAAGAAAGCCCTCCTCCGGGTACAGCCTCGGTAGTGTTCTCTGTACTCGCATTGAGCCTGACATTCCATCAATGTGAATCAATTGCATAGAAAAAAACAGGGCTAAAAACCAGGGCTAAAATCAGATCTCAATCAGTATACTCTTGTATCATATTAGAGAAGTGGTTTGGTGGTTTTGCATAGGGACTTTCTGAAGTAACAAAAAAGTCACTCCAGATTAACACTTGAACGTAGTGGCAAGTTACATGAATTTAAAGTATACGAAGACTGTTATGCTATTATATTTAACATACCTGTTCTTTTATTGCTTTTTCAACTAAGGATTTTCCTCTACTCATGCGCACCTAGTAAAGAAATACAGAACATTTGTATAAGTCACTATTGCCTTTAATAACAAAGTATTTAAAGGGACAACTTTATAAGAAAAAGAATTTGCAAAGAAAACAGTGATTCCCTCAGGTATGCAATCCTAAACTTAGAATTAGATTTATAAGGGAACTCATTTATAATGGAGATCATATAGTTCAGGAAATTCACTATTACTTATTTGGAACAAGTCACTGGAACCTCTGACAAAACATTATCAGCAGCGGACTCCTCAGTTGAATAAACTGCTGAAACATACTCAGGAAACAGCATCTGAAGGAACACAGAAATCCAGAGTTGTGACAATAAATGCTAAGTGACACACAAAGTTCCATGGAAGAAATAAACAACTAGCTCACATGTCCTTAGTATCTGTGATCCACACATATACTCCTAAACAGTGTCTTTAATATTTTATTTTTTATCTTATAAATAGTAAATTCTTTTGTAAAATGAGGGGAATGATCAGGCCAAAATGATATCTATTATTGTAAATTTAATAAATGTACTTTTGTAAGCAATAGAGATTTGATACATTAAAACAGTGTACGTGTATTAAAAATCACCACCAATGAAGTGGTTTGCAAGATTTCTGAATCATTCTGTCTTTTTAAAATCAGCCTGAAACAGATAACCCTGCAACTGTGTCACTCCAGAACTAAATCCTGAATTATCATAGATAAGAACAGGATGATCAGTCCATATCCTGACCCAGACTATTTTATTCAAGTCATTCTTTGCTTGAGGAACATTAACTAGAACATTGGAAGTTCAGGCTAGCTTTGAATGATGAGATATGAAATTGTTAACAAATCAGCTTTACTTGATTACAGTATGTTTTAAAAAGAAGTATCTGCAGGATAGGATGAGTGGTGAGGAGGCAGAAATGAAACTTACTGTGTCCACCATCTTAAATGAACTTCCATCATGCCTATCTCTTCTGCTGCTTGGATGAGGTGAACTGTTTCCTCCATTATATACAGATTCTGGGCTTGGAACCGGAGATGCTTGTACTAGACTCTGAGCAAATTTTGCTTCCTTTTTATTAGAGATCAGATAGCTAATATCTTTGCTCAGAAATCCTTCAACTCTCTAAATGTAGAAAGAAAAAAGTATTATTTCACAGCTGGAGATTATCACAGTATTTAACACAAAAGTTACAAAAAAGTATCTGACACTAATTTAATGCATAGGAATGCCCCATTTCATACGTGCTCAAGCAGTATGAAAGCTGCTCTTCCAGACTGCAGTCCAGATGCCTCTACTTGTGAATGAAATAACACATGCAGAAACCTGATCAGAATAGTGCATATATCACCATTTGCTAAGTTATATGATCCAGCAGAGATAGTTCCTTGAAATACATTTAAATAGTAGTTGTGCCACATAAAGGACTACTCAAGGCTGCTGCTGTTATGTTCTATCATGTTGTCTCTGACTTATGGCAACCTTATGAATTAAAGTCCTATGTGTAACATCCTTGCTCAGCTGTCATATACTCAAGGCTGCTATTTCCTTTATGGAATAGATCCATCTCCTCTTTGGCCTTCCTCTTCTGCCTTCAACTTTCCCTGGCATGATTGTTTTCTCCTGTGATTCTTAACTTCTTATGATGTGCCCAAAACTTCAGTTTTGTCACTTTTGCTTCCAGGGAAAGTTTTTGTCTTGATTTGGTCTAGAAACCACTTGTTCACCTTTCTGTTGATCCAGGGTATTTTCAAAGGTCTCCTCCAGCACCATTTTTGAACACATCCATTTTCTTTACCATCCAACTTTCACACTGATGCATAGTGATCAAGAATACAATACTGTAGATGATCTTGACCTTGGTCTCAAGTGAAATGTCCTTACACTTAAGTTCCTCCATTGCTGCCATTCCAAGTCTCAGTCTTCTTTAAAATTCTTGGCTAAGTCTTCATTTCAATTGATGATTGAATCAAGGTTATACAAAATCTTTCACAATTTCCATTTCCTCATTGTTGACCTTAAAGCAGTCCAATTCTGTAGTAAGGATTCTGGTTTTCTTAATTTTCAGCTACAATCTTGCTTTTGCACTTCCTTTTTTCTTTCAGCAGCACTTGTTTCAATTTGCTGCTGCTTTCTGGCAGTACCATGCTATCTTCTACATATCTTAAATTACTGATGTATCTTCCAACAATTTACACTCCTGTTTCCTCTGATCCTAATCCAGCTTTCCCTATTGTTGTGTGTACGGAGAGATAAAATACAACCTTGCCTCACATCTTTACCAATAAAACACCATCCTGTTTCTCCATATTAACCTAACAGTAGCTTTATACTCTAAGCAACAAAGGTCACCTCCCCGCTTCTGTTCATGTGACCTTCCACTGGTCAAAGGTCCCTGCTTTCACAGTAGGGCATATTTAGATCCCACCTAAAACATACCAACAGGCTCACAGAATGTTTCAGCTGTGTCAACAGACTTAGAAAAGTCTAAGAAAAGTCTAAGAAAAGCCATTATCTACTGGCTGAAAATATAGCAATACTACCAGTACTCCACTGTAAGGCTTCATACAAATATTAATGAGATAATATACATGACTTGCTACAAGAACATGGAGTAAATGTACTGGGTTTGCAAGACAGCTTGAATTTTTGAATGGGTTTACACAACAAGACAAGACCCTTGGCTCAGGTGCATCCACCATGGTTTATAAACCCAGCTTCTATTGTTTATAACCCACCTGGAAAAGCCTTACCTACTGAACCCAGGAATAACACAAACCTCTACAAAGCTCCTTGACAAGAGTGGAAAGCATTCCTTGCTGCTCTAGCCAATCCACTTGGAGGTGGCTCTCAGCTTTCCTTCCACCCTGTACTGTGCCTTCTCAGGATGGTGGTGGGGCTACAAGAACTGTAATCAGCTTGGCTGACCTTTGTGTCAGCCAAGCCAAAAGCAGCTGCTTTCATGGACAAGCAAAGCTAGGCTGTGCTTTGCTCAGCCTACTTAAGAGTAAACTATGCAGAGGATCTCCTCCCATCTAGTGCTGTGATAGCACTCGAGCTGTGCTCTGCTCTGTCTACAGTCAGTCACATCATGGACACATGCCATAGTTTCTAAGACACTGGGGGCTTACAGTGTCATACCAACCCAACCTTTTTCTGAAAAAAAAATCCAATCAAAATTATTAAATTATTTTAGCCTATTTTTGTGATCAACATTGTATCTGATCTATCATGCTGGCCACAAAGTTAGGTTAAAATAGTAATTATAATTAAAGAGGTTGGAAGTATTCATATGTGTGTTCAGCTACCTCACTCAATAACCTTCAGCAAAGTTTTACCAAAATGCTTCCAAGAGTACTTCCATTCTTAGAAATACAGGTACATTCCTGGACAATAGGAAGAGTGCCATAATACGTTAAAAACAAATCCGTTTGTCCATGTCTTCTGAATTAGGTATGTTCTATTCTGATCATGAATCCATCATATCAGATGACACATACCATCCTGTATTAGGATTTGAATTCTGCAATTCTATGCTGTACATATTAGCATACAGGTATCACTTTCTCCATTTCCCTGATGAATATACCTGGAAATTATCACCACTATCTTGCCTACTTCTTTGTCCCTTGCATTCCTGTTCTTAAAACTTTGCTCAACAGTTAGCTCTGGGCTTTTGCCACTGTAGTCCCTGGGTACCTGAGAAACTTTTATGCATACAACCTAATTTTGGAGTCTTCTCTCCAAAAAACCATTTTCTTATATTTGCATTATTCATTAGCTTTTAAAGAATAGGAAAAAAAGTTAACTTACCCCTCCCAATTCCTTAAGATCTTTTGCTATTTTCTCAGAAAGGATATTAGATGGAATGTCAAGGTAAAACACCTTCCCAGTAAGTGGCTTGTATTTTAATTTATCTGACTTTGTGGACTCTTTCTTCACAGTTTTTGAGGGAGGCCTGCTTCTTTCTGTTCTTCCTTGCATATCACCTATAAAAATGTGGGGGAGAATTCAGTCAACAAATGGGACTGTTATCTGTTTATACACAAATTCCTTTGAGGGAAACAAAATCAGATGTCTGAAAAGCCCACAACTGGGCATGTTAAAGCTGTTCGCCACATAAAGCTACATGTGGTAAGATCAAGAGCAGATCACCCCTGCCTTCCTCATCATACACAGAATATACTAGGAGAGCCAGACAGGTTGTGCACCCCTTAAATGCAAAGTACAGTGGTACCTCGGCTCACAAACTTAATCTGTTCCAGAACTCTGGTCGTGACCCAAATTGGTCGTGAGCCAAGTTAAATTCTCCCATAAGGTTCAATGTAAATAAGGTTAATCCATTCTGGAACCATTTTTTTAATCAGAAAAATGTGAAGCAAAGTGACACAGAACAACAAAGATCGCAGCCATCTCCCCCTCCCCACCCCAAGCACAAGTGCGGTCCTCTCCGCCCCCCCCCCCAGCACAACCGAGATCACGCCTGTCATCCCTGCACACACCTGTTATCCTGGCAGCTGGGGGGGGGGGGAGAGGGGCACGAATGGGGTGCACTGGGGGGGTGGAGATGGGCGCGATCGTGCAGGTGGGGGGTGGAGATGGTCGAGATCGCGGGCGCGATCGTGCTGGAAAGCTGGGCGCAATCACGGGCGTGTTCATGCAGGGAAGACGTGCATGATCACGGATGCGCTCCTGCAGGAAAGACGGGTGCAATCTCAGCCATCTCCCCCACCCCCAACCAGCACAATCACGGCCATCTCCCCACTTGGTGGGGGTGGGGAGATGGCGGCGATCTTGGTTGCCACCCAATGCGGAGTTCACGACCCACATAAAAATTTTCATGAAATTTTTGTTTGCAACCCAATTTGGTCATGACCCAAGGCGTACATGAGCCGAGGTACCACTGTAGTCATATCTCTGCAGCAGAGCAGCACTCTGACAAAAATTTGGGCATGGGCACCAGGTACTATACTCTGACACATCTGGAGGGAAGGAACTCAGGAAGGCAGATGTGAGGGCAACAATTCTGCAAACATGAATTCAGTCAGTTTTATTGTTCCAGGCAATATTTTCAGTTGAATATTTTCTATTAACAAGAAATCCGCTTTTTGTTAATCCAGCTATTCCAGAATGTTGAATCAAGATTTTAAAAAATGTGTTTTTGGACATATTTTGATACCTTAGATCTACAACTGGCGAAGAGTACTATCTCTATGCAGAACAAACGATGCCATATCTACATCTGAGCAACTTTGCAAACATTATTTGGTATTTGCTTTTTGAACACAAAAATCAGTCACAGCAATTGTTTCCAGTACAGTTTATGCGGCCTTATGAAACACAGTTGCATTAAATGGAGATAAACATATGCTCTAACTTACAAGAAGGTATCTAATTGTTATCAACTTAGGAAGCCTCCTTGTTATGTCTAAGGAAATCCAGCCTCTCTCAATTTCCAGAGAAAAGGGGGGCAGCAACAGATTGGAACTGCAGCGTTGGCAACAAGCTTCTTCGAAAATCGGCCGACAAGTTAATAAAAGTAGTCTGCGAACCAAGCTGAAGTTTCAAGCCACCGTTCCTAGTACCAGAGGAAAGGAAGCACGAGCACTTACAGGGAAACTGTCCTTTGCTGCTGCTTTTCAAACCACTTGGTTTCATCTTCCTGGGAAGTCACATTTTCTCCATTCACCTCCCTGTGACGGTTACAACCTGGGAAGTTTGTGGGGGGTGGGGTGCGGGGAGAGAAAGCGTTCGCAGAAGTTAAAAGGCACCGAAAATAACGTTTTGTCGTTTAAAACCTCCGTAAGGCAGCTGGGCGGAGCGACGGTCCAGCGTCGATTTCCTCCCGCTTCAGCCGGGCCCCCCGCTTTCACCCACGCCCGCTTGGGAGCCGCAGCCCCACTCACCCTGGCTTCCCCGCTGGCCTGGTCCCCACGGGGGCAGCGCCTGCTGTCCGCGCCCGCTTCCCTTGCGCCCCCTCTCCGTACCCGCCGCCTCCGCCCCCGAAGCGGAGGGACGGTTGGAGTTTGAAATGTGCGTTCCCGCCGTGCGCACGACCCCCTCTCCCCTCACCGCGCTCCCTGCCTGCGCCTCACCCCAACGCGGCGGGACCCATGGCGCCGGCCGGCACGGGCGCTGCTCAGTATCCCCGCGAGTCGGCCATCGAAGTAGCTGTTCGCCGCCGTTTCCCGCCTCTGCCCAACCGGGCCTACCAGAAGCTGCCGAGCTTGGCCTCGCCTCCTTGCTCGGGCTGATCGACGCTGCCGGGAGGGGGAAGCGGAGGCGCCGCCCAGCAGGGAGGAGCTGCTCTGGCCGCCCGCGGCCGCTTGCCTTCCTGGGCACTGTCAGGCCGAGCCACCGAGGCGTCCTCCCCCTGCGCGCTTTTCCTCAAGGACCGCCTGGGTTAGGATCGCCGCCGCTTCTCTCGCCCCCTTTGTCACTTTGCCCAGGTAAATGGCCGACTGCTGCAACAGCCGCATGGGCGTCTTGGACTGCGACTAAAAATTGCCCTTGCTGGCTGTCGAAGGTTGGGATATAAACAAGTTTCTAATAGAAGTGCTTTGTGGTATTCCGGGGGCGGTGTTGCTCGATGGGGCCGTAGGTTGGGTCCCAGCATGTGCGCCATAATGAGGTTTGTGTGTGATACAATTTGGAGGGAGAAGATGCTTCCTCAGAAAACAAGCCTTGAGCCAAATCCAGCATTCCTGGGTCCCAGTGGCTTGCTGAATCTCACATTCACCTACTTTTTTCCAGGTTATAGCGGCTGAACTTTAGACTACAATCCTCTCTTTCCCTATTTGAGAGCAAGTGTCCCATTGAACACTGTAGGACTTTGCATATACAGGGCTTGTGCTATTAACAGCAGTGCTGGAGAAGACTCCTTCAACATTAAGTATGATAATTAAGTCTAGATGCGAATTGTTACTTACACATTATATTTATTGTGCAACATAAATAAATACGTGCAGCTGCACAGTAAATATGCTGAGAAGACTCCTGCGAGTCCCTTGAACTGCAAGGAGATCAAACCCGTCTTAGAGGAGATCAACCTGACTGCTCTATAGAAGGCCAGATCCTGAAGATGAAACTCAATACTTTGGCCACCTAATGAGAAGGAAGGAGTCACTGGAGAAGAACCTACTGCTGGGAACATTAGATTGCAAAAGAAGAAGGGGACAGCAGAGGATGAAGTGGCTAGATGGAGTCACTGAAGCAATCAGCGTGAGCTTAAGTGGACTTTGGGGGATGGTGGAGGACAGGAAGGCCTGGAGGAATGTTGTCCATGGGGTTGTGATGGGTCCGGCACGGCTTTGCGACTAACATAGCATAATTTTAAATGACTTTTAGTGGCTTAGTTCACAGTACTTTCCACACCAATGATTTGATAAAAGGAGCACAATCTTGGCAGTTTTATGTTCAGTTCCTTTCCTAATTCTGATTAACATGGAGTTTGTCTTTTTCACAGCAGTTGAGCACTGGGTCAACATTTTCATCAAACTGTCCACCACAGCCCCAAAGATCCCTTTCTTGATCAGTTGCCACTAGCTCAGATCTCGACAGCATATACCTGAAGCTGGGATTTTTTTTAAAAAAAAATTGCTCGTATGTACATTAGTTTACATTTAAATCAGCATGAAATACATTGTAGGGCTGCAAAAAAACCCCTTTCAACATCTGAACTGCACCAGCTTCATTTCTTAGGTCATACAAGCAAACTAAGAGGGCATATCTGCTGGAGGAGAAGTGATTGGTTGCACTCTGGACTCCTTCCCTCTTAATTCAAAATGCTGCAGCTAGACAGCCAACACTGACTGTGCTGCTAAACTGCAGGGCAGGATAACAGAGTTCTCTTCTCTGTACCTCTTGCCTTGCATAGGATGCCTTTAAGTGTGAATCTGGAGGCTTATGGGCATCTGATTGGACTATGCCTTGTTAGAGGTATAGCGAAGACAATTGTAACATTCCTAGAGCTTTTCCAGTGATGCTTTTGAACTTATGCATAACAGCAAAGCAGCTTTCATAATTACAAACTGGCGGGCAGATTGAAAATCATTTAATAACAAACAAAAACAATTTGCAGACAGAATTACAGAGAATTCAGTTGTCAGCACTTTATTCTGATGTATCTTTTTTCTTTAAGTATTCCACAATAATTCTTCCCACTGCCTCTTGATGTTTGGTGTTGTTTTCAAAACAAGAATATTTAATCTGTGTTTTTTTTTTCAAACAGGTTATGTTTCCCAAGGAATAAATTATGGATTCCAAAGACGACAACAATGGATTATACAGGATCACACCTTCTCAGCAAGCATTCTGTTCTTGCTGTGGTGCTCTACTTACATCAGTTTTGGGTAAGGATAAATTTTTTCAATTTACTTAACTACACAATTTTAATAGTTTAGGGAGCATTCTTTGCCAATGCACATCACATTCAGTGATTTTGGCCACTGAGGTACAGTGCTTCAGAGCAGGAAGGAAAACATGCTGAGGCATCATTTTTTATTTTTAAAAGAACTTTTTATTTTTTATTTCAATGATATTTTAATAACTTTTAATATCAGTTTATAGGTTTTAATATGCAGCCAGGGTGGATCTGGATTTTATCTGTATTATGTTTTATTTATGTAAGCTGTCCCGAGGCTACGCGATGGGACAGCATACAAATGCTCTAAATCAATCAATCAGTCATAGGATATACTGTATTTTGGTGACATCACTCCTGCCCCTCCTCTCTCCCAAAAGTCCTCTAGAGATGCTCTTGGAAACTTGGGAGAACCAGTATTGTGGTTCTTTGCAAACTACCTGCAAAGAGGGGGGAGCACAAATCCTCAGCAGCAAGGTTAGAACAGTACTTTTTTTTAGCTTATAGCTGGGATTTAAAAAAAAAAAATTCTGTGGCCCACTAGAGTCTGCCTTGGAAATCGCAGTATCATGTACACTGTAACTGTTAATGGATCAGTAAAATTAAGGGGTGTGGTGGGGGAGGAGTAGTGATGGTAGGTCCATCTGATGTAGACAGTGCAATGTCATACGCTGGCTCTAAAGTCCATTTTGGAAAAGAATACAGGGAAACATCAAATATATGCATTCAATTAGCATATTTTTTCATACTGATCACTGTAATAAATGGCTATCATTATTTCATTATTCATTATTTGTAGTGGCTGTTACAAAATGTCTATATTTTACTCCTTTTGCAGTTTCTCATTTTGGGAACTGCAAATAATGATAAATCCCCTTTATACCATATGACAAAGAATTCTACATTATCACAATATGGGGAGTAGTGCAGAATATGCAATATTTTTATGGGTCATTTCATTGTTTTCAGTTTTATGACAAATTCTGTTTTACACAGTATTATTGGAGTCTTTATAACTGGTGTTCCATTTAGAATCTTAGTACTGGGGAGGGGCCTTATAGTTCAAACCCATTTGGTGTGGAAGATTCAGAGCTTAGAGCATTTCCAATAGTAAAGAGACGCCTCCTATTCCCATACCTTGCTGTTAATATGTTTCAATATTACCAGTTCAACTATTTAATATGTCAATATGTCTGTCTTGTAAGTTCACCCTAATAGTTATAGTTCTGCTCTTTGGTGCAGGAGAAAACTAATCTGTTGTCTCTTGTGCAAGTTCATTTATTTATTTCTAATTTAAGATTATTAATTTATGAATTCACAAATACAACAATGTTGTCTGTATGGTTGTTTGTTTTCCTTAGTGACACCTCTAGATGTTATCAAAGTCCGACTGCAAGCACAGAACAATCCATCCCTCAGAGGTATATCTGTATAGTTATAGATTTGGGTTATGGGGAAAAATGTCTGTTTTAATGTATTTTCATAATATGTATTAGTGTTAGAATGAGAAGAGTACATATGGTGAGTAGGTCACAGAAATATGAAGAGCTTTAGTATGTGAAACTGCTTCTGATACTTTACACCAATACTAGTAATAACTTTGTTCTCTGACTAATGTTTATTTGTAGATTATATTATAAATTAAAATTATATTTAATTCAGTGTTGAAGAAACATACTGTATTATAAGTGGCAAAATGAGAAAGGGAATTCATCACTACTTATTTCATAGAAACCTACAACACTCATTTATGTTCCACGTAGAAATCAGAAAAGCAATGTTTCAGCTATGTAGGGAATAAATGCTGTATGGGTTCCTTTGTCACACCCCTCTCCAGAAAATATGCATGAGGATGTGCTTCATCCATTGCACTCAAGATACTAGGTTTATTGTTCACCCTTTTATCAGGAAAGCCGTTTTTGGATTCTGATGGTTTGACAGATCACGTTTATCTCTATGAAAATGGAAGCGGCAAAACTTGGAATAGAACATCTGGCCGTTTTACTGGCATGATGGTAAGGGGAAAGGCATATTAATATTAACTTTTCACAAGTCCATGTAGTTTTGAGATGACTTTGAATAATGCTTGCAAGTCACTTGAAATAAAGACAGATGTACATTTTTAAAAAATTATAGGACCAGCATAAAGGGATAACTAAGAAGTTACCAAGATCAATATATGAATGATAGAAACTAAGAAAAGACAGGATTATAAGTAAGTTGTAACATCTGGTTAAGTCCTTAGTTCAACTGTGTATTGTGTGTGAAAGAAAATCTCCTACCCCAATGCATTATGGAGAAGAACCTGCATTTTCTACTGTTACATTTGCTATCTGTGAAATGATTCATATGTTCTGATGTTATAAAAAACATAAGTTCTATAGAAAAAGTGTGAGGTGTTTTATGGCAATTGAAATGGCATAAAATGGTTGAAAGACTAGATCATTTTTATCAGGTATTTTAAAAATAAATTGCATTTAAAAATAAATTGCAAGCCAACAAACCACTCAACAAGATTTTTAAAAATCTACAACTGTTTTCATCTCTGTATTTGGTTACTTTAGGATGCTTTTATGAAAATAGTTCAAAGAGAGGGTGTGAAAGCACTGTGGAGTGGATTACCTCCATCACTGTAAGTTACATTACTCTTTCTTCCTGTAAAGAACACTGCTGTATAAACAGGAACTTTTGTAGTAACAAATGTAAACCTTAGAAAATAAATGTTGCCTGTCCTCATCCATCTCTGTCAACACTTCATATGTTTATGTATTGAAGAGTAGAAACTGAAGTACATGGTGCAAAAAGTTTAGTGAGTAAGGAAGTCATACAATTTAACAAAGCTTTGTCAGCCGATTGCCATAGAATTGTTTGCTTCTGTACAAGCATGCATATAAATGTTTCTAAAGAAATAAATGTTTGCTTTGGAAGATGCCTACTGTTCTGAATGTTTTTAAAATAATTGGATTTAAAAAAACTTGAAAGAACTGGAAAATCTTCTTAATCTCTTGAGAAACCAATGTCATGGTCCTACATCTCCCCCATTCTGTAGGTAGGCATCCAAGGAAACTATAAATATTTTTCCTGCCATTAAATTCAGTGGGTTGGGAATGTTTTTAAAAAAGAAAAAGATACAAAGGGGAGGGGAAAGTAGCACACTTTCCTGAAATCTGACCGAGCCTGCATGGGTCTGCCGGAATTATGAAGTGGCATTCTTCTGCCGTGAATTCTTTCTCCTGCATCTTATAGACTTGCTGTGTAAAACGTTTAAAGTGCAGTCCAATGCACATTGATCCAGAAAAATTCAGCTATGCTGGCTTGGGCATATAGAACATTTTTCTGTCTAGAACACACACAGGATTCTATCCTAAGGGCCATATTTTTTAAGTATGTGCATCACAGATTGCACTATTTGCCCATGCACTATATAGCATATTTAAGTGTGATGTAGATTCAAAAATTATGTTTCATTCATTTATTAAGGTCATGATCCAAAAGTAAACTTGTACACAGCAATAAAAGCACTACTCATACTCTGTCTTTAAAGGTACAATCCAGAAAAGACCATTGCTCACATCTGAGGTAGGAGTGCTTTCTCTGCATCCAAGCAATCTTCTGGTCCCTTCAGTGTCTGGGGCTCCTAGGATTATTCCCTGAATTTTAAACATTTTAAAATATGAAATAGCATGGGCCAGAGGAGGTAGGGTGGAGTTTGATTTTGTAGCTCATGACTGGCACTATCTCATAGTGCACATGGAATCGCCAGTTACCAATAATGCAGTCTCTCCAGAACCAAATGCCTTTCTTTCTGTGCTAAGAAACTGCAGTATTTATACAGCAAAAAGCAGTACCTTTAGAGCATTGAAATGACTTTCCTATCTTAAAAGACTGTCAGCTGTGATTTTTTTCCTTCCCTCAAACCCTAGAAAGCTGTCATACACTGAGTTAATCCATTGCCCGATCTAACCCGGTACTGTCTATTTGACTGGCAATTGGGTTTTCATTTTCTTGAGCAGAAATCTTGCCCATCACCTACTACCTGATCTTTTTAATTGAAGATGGCAGGGATTGAGCCTGGGCTCCTCTAAATACAAAGTACATGCTCTGCGGTTAAACTATGGGCCTTCTGGAATAACCCTGGCACTGTATTTTAACTGGAAGGAATACATTAAATTTTACACTAGAGGTAATTCTATTTTATATATATCTTTTAGCTAGAGGAAATACGGTTGATCGGTAATATAAATACTTATACTTTTATTTTAGAGCAGTTTCAGTTCCAACGACAGTAATTTATTTTACCTGCTATGATCAGCTACATGATGCCTTCATTTCTAAACTAGGAGAAGATAATGACTACATTCCACTTATTGCAGGTGGTATAGCCAGATGTGAGTCAAGCAGCTTTTAACCCCTAGTCTTCTGTTAAACTTTATTTCATATTGCTTAAAAGAAAGTTTGGATGAAGTTACATTTGTAGTTGCAAGGAACTGTCTAAGAAACCATTCATTATGCTGATTTTCATTATCAGCTTCTTTTAATATGTAGAAATGGAATTAAAATAATTGGATGTAAAGAGTTTGTCTAAGTGTACAAGGTTTTTTCTGGGTCAAGGAGCCCGTTAACCATGGTTCAGCTATCAGGAGAGCCTTTTGGACTTACATGTTCCTTTCCCCCTTCTTCTCTTGCAGTTTGAACTGTCCTTGCCTTCCTTTCTTGGAACGAACCATGATTAATCTTATGTCTGTACCAAGGTTAATGTTATGCATGCCAATTTCACCTATTTCATGTCCAAAAACATTGCCCTTATGTGGGTGTTTCTGGTAAAAAGTATTTCTACCCACAGCTGCTATCAGAAGCTCAAACAGCATTTGACAGCAGTAGAACTATTTGAGGCAGATTCAGGTTTAAAGGAATCATATATAAAATGGGCTTAAGAACCCAGATTTAACAAATGAAACAAGTGCACACAGTTGCAATTAGTGCAGAATACATATTACTACAAGATGTCTGTGCACATGTTATGCTTCTTAGTCATGTTCTGTGACATTGAGAAACCTATACAGAGTGGGAGAAAAACCTTTGAACTGAGAATCTAAGAACTGATCTAAACAAACAAATTTTATTTGGCATGAGGGGTTTTTAAAAATCTATTTAAGGTAAAACAAAAAACAGATGGATGTACATAGTACTGCAAGTCATAGCTTATACCCTTAATATTGACAACTGTACATGACTTGTCAGGAAAGAAACCACTGTGATTTCCATCTTTCAAATATTTTTGGACATTGTGGTGATCCCTCTGGAGTGTAGTAGTTGAGTCTGCAAGTAGCATCTTTGGCAGTGGGAGAAGATTTGAGTTTTTGTAGACTGATTCTTATGCACAATTTTAAGGAGATATAGGAGGAAGCAAGTTTCTCATAATAAATTGGTTAGGCTTTAAGGTTTCATAAAATTCCTCATTGTTTTTGCTCTGTAAGGTTATTCCATGGTAGAATGATTACCTGCTTTGAAAAATATGGCAGATGTTGACAAAATACAGAAAACAAAACTTGTCTCTCAAATGCTGCTTGGAAAAATTCTCTGTCAGAGTCCTGCTTGAGCATTGTGCCTTTTCCCTCTCAATTACAGTGTTTTCAGCTACAATAATAAGTCCAGTTGAAATGATTAGAACAAGAATACAGTCTCAGCGGTTGACTTATAAAGAATTGGGAGCTTGCATTAGAAGCAATGTGGCCAAAAACGGCTGGCTTTCACTCTGGAAAGGATGGGGCCCTACAGTTCTTAGGGACGTGCCATTCTCAGGTACATCCTATTTTGAACCTGTAGAAATCTGTCTTTGTTATGTTTATTGGCTCCTGCAGATTCACTTTCAATGAAGTGATGAAGATTTTACCAAGTGGGAAAGTCAGATAAGATGATGCCAAAATAAAAATTTTGTAAAACTACATTATGTTCAAAATGTATGGGTTTTACATAGCTGGCTATGATGGTATACCGAGTACACCAGTTACTGAGGCACATGGGCAGGTGGAACTCTTTCACCAATCCTGCTTGAGAGACCCTTTTGGCAGCTGGAGTGCTGGACTGGATGGACCATTGCTCTGATCCTGCATAGCTTTTGTTATGCTCTTCTGATTCTTTTCCTCTCATAACCAGCATAGAACTGTGCTGGCTGTCCTGACCTCAAAGAGAGGAAAATGTGATTGGATAAGGCAGGGAGGGAAAATAACCAGAGAGGTCAGAATAAAAGCCTCTTCTGAAGCCTCTCCAGACTTTTCCTCCTTTTCTGAAATAGTAAAATAGTAGAACCCAGGGTCACCCCATGAAGCAGATTGGTGGGAGAGTCAGGACATACAAAAGAAAGTACTTCTTCAAACAACACATACACTGTGGAATTCTTTGCCACAGGAAGCAGTGTTGACCACCAATCTGGAAGGCTTTAAAAGTGGATTAGCCAAATTCAGGGGGGAGAATGCTATTGGTTACACTGGTAGTAGGGTGGTTTATAAGCCTGACCACAGCAGTTTGGCTTAGCATGTTTTGTGAATCAGCCCAATGAAACTTAATTTGAACAAATTGTTATTTTTGTTTAATTTTGCTAATGTGAAGTATGTTTCCATAAATATAATTAACTGCACAGATCTTCTCTTTGGTTTATTGTCTGAAACATTGCAGTCAGTAAACATTCACAAAATTTAAAAACAAAACAAATAAAGGGAAGTAGTAACCCTTTACATTGGTGACTGCTTATGCTCCTGTTCAGAGGTATATACAGGGATAATGCATGGTCAATAGGAAAATATTTGCTGTGCTTTTAGGGATGCTCCTGACTTGTTCTAAAGTTAGGAGGGAATCAGTCTTTACAGTTGTGCTTGTTAAAAGTGACCCATAGTGAATTAAATAACCTGCCATACACACAGTGACATTTTTGGCTTCATGCAATATTTGGCCATGGTCGAATTGGTAGTATAGGGATAGTATTTGACTGATCAATTGACTGACATAGCAGCCCCATTATTATGGTTTTTTTTTTAAAGATTCATAATGGCACATTAGGGATGCAGGTGGCACAGTGGTTTAATCTGCTGGGCTGGTTGATCAAAAGGTCGCTGGTTCAGATCTGCACAATGGGGTGAATTCCCGTTGCTCCATCCCAGCTCCTGCCAACCTTGCAGTGCGGAAGCATGCAAATGCAAGTAGATAAAAAGGTACCACCTCAGTGGGAAGGTAACAGCGTTCCGTGCACTTTGGTGTTTAGTCATGCCAGCCAAATGACCACAGAGACTGTCTGTGGACAAATGCTGGCTCCCTTGGCTAGGAAACTGAGATGAGCACTGCCCCCTAGAGTCAGGCATGACTGGACTTAATGTCAAGGGGAAACCTTTACCTTTACCTTTAATGGGACATTAATGAACACTGCAGTGTGACCAGTGGTTGACCTGCTTTGTGGAAGTATATTGTTACATCTATTTTCTAACAATGGATCCCATGCAAATATGGAAGAATATTCTTTCTACTTTTCAGTGTTGCATATTAGATTTTTTAATGGCTCTTGTATTTTCTGACTCTTAATAGTTGCTATAAAATTTCTCCCCATAGCATTATATTGGTGGAACTATGAATATTTCAAGACACTGTTATGCAAGAAATCAGATGTACATGAGCCAACAATTCTTATCACTTTTTCATCTGGAGCAGCAGCTGGTTCTGTAAGTCTAATTTCTGTTAATAAGAATTCATTTAATAAGCATTACATCGCACTGATATTTTTCTACAGGAGACTGAACACAGGAATTCTGAGAAACTTAGGTTTGCTTAATCCTGATTGAAATTAATAGTATATTGCTTTAACTATATGCGTATATTCCACTATTTTTAAATGGGGTTTAGGCATGCTTACATTTCTTTCTATTGAATACTATCCCAGTTCATAATCTCATATAGAGAATATACATATAAGTAGTCTTGCATAGAGAGTCTCCCATCATCTGTCCTGAGAGAAGAGCTACACTTTCATAGCCAACAAACAGAATGGCTCTTCTGCGTGGTAAACTTTGTCCACAGCACCTGAAAGAGATAAGCTAAACACAAAGCATAGGAAAAAAGCGGAAAGACAAGGCATTGGTGTTAACACCTTAGGACATGCAGTTGGCTACTTGGCTTCCACAGACACAATTTCCTGTACTCACAAAGTACTTACAATTTAAATAAAATCCGCTTTTTCCTGGAGGTTGGAAGCACTTCAGAATGAAGTGCTGATCCCCATATGCTGGACATCTTTACTCTTCTGGACTGTCTGTAGCCAGAGATATAGAGATTAGCCGAGGCCAGTGCTTTGCTCTGACCTCTTGGATACCACCACCACCACCCCAAAAAATGGAAAGAAGAGACGTAATGGCATGTTCTAGTAATGGAGGAAAATTGAAGGTCTGGGAAAGTGGACAAATAAAGCCCATCTCATTTACAAGAGCAGTTACTTTTGACAGCTGTCAAAAGTAAGGCTTTCTTTTAAAAGAACATTTTTGGCAGAACTAAAGAGGGTCTCTGAACAGGAACATATGCAGCTGTAAAATCTGTATATGGTCCTTTCAAAAAAAGTTCATGCATGTATGGATTGTATTTATTTTATTTAAAATAAGCAGTACAATTTAGAAAGTCGAATCTAATCTAACCACTGAATATACGTTTTATTCTGTTTGCACAATCTAATGCAGTTACTTGCCCTTTAGTACCGCTGGACCTTAGCTACCTGTAAGTTAGATTATGGCAAGTAGGTTATAAGAGCACCATCAGTAATGTTGTCTTATTGATGCTAATGAGTATACAAAATCTGTCAGTGAAAGTTCCACTGACAACTATTTGCATGTAGCTATTGCAATGTTTACAATTTAAATATTTTCCCTAGATTGCTGCTCTATTAACTTTACCCTTTGATGTTGTAAAAACACATACACAGACTGAACTTTGGGACTTGGATGTCACACCCTGTAAGTTCTTAGTAATCCATTAAATATTTTTGTTTCACCAATGCATCCTAATACAATATTTAAGAAAGCCCTTCCTGGAGATTTAGTCACTACCATCCATGCTTTTGTAATATTATAGATGGACTACTACAGCAATTGCCATGTGGGCTGGGCATAAAGAACACTTGGAAGCTGATATTACAGATGTCCACCTGTCTCTTTACTTAAACAAGAGAGATAATATTCAGTCATTAATAAATATTCAGCCAATACTGCCCAGTGGCTACTGTGTCAAGGTTTAAAGGGCTAGTTATTATCTATAAAACTGTAAAAGTTTTAGTGTAGCTTGGAAGCATGTGTGTTCCAAGACTGCTCTTGTGTAGATTTTTGGTCTATTGTGGACCATCACAGGATACTCAAAACAGGACCAGTATTGTTGGCGCTTCTACACTGTGCAGCCAGCTTCTTAAGATTAGCCACAGCACATCATTACCAATTGTAAGAAAATGCTGTAAGATTTTATTCTATATATATTTAAATGCATGCCTGAAGTGTTTTATGATTGGGTCAACAGAAGGAGGCTTATTTTAAGGTGCAATCTAATCAGAATGCCTTGGAAGATTATCAGCATTCTGTGCAAGGTAGAATGAGCACAGAGGTGAAAGTCACTACCATGCTCTTTCCACCCTGCAAAACAGTTTGCCAATTTCAGCTGCTTAAGTCTGGTTTGTTTTTGTTGTTGTTGGTCGTGAAGTCGTGTCCGACCCATCGCGACCCCATGGACAACATTCCTCCAGGCCTTCCTGTCCTCCACCATCCCCCGGAGTCCACTTAAGCTCACACCAACTGCTTCAGTGACTCCATCTAGCCACTTCATCCTCTGCTGTTCCCTTCTTCTTTTGCAATCTAATGTTCCCAGCAGTAGGTTCTTCTCCAGGAAGTCCTTCCTTCTCATTAGGTGGCCAAAGTATTTGAGTTTCATCTTCAGGATCTGGCCTTCTAAACAGCAGTCAGGGTTGATCTCCTCTAGGACTGACCGGTTTGATCGCCTTGCGGTCCAAGGGACTCGCAGGAGTCTCCTCCAGCACCACAATTCAAAGGCCTCAATCCTTTTGAGCTCAGCCTTCCTTATGGTCCATCTTTCACAGCCATACATTGCAACTGGGAAAACCACCTTGGAGCATATCTTGGTGGTGTTGGTGTCCTTTCCCCCCACCCCATACAATGCACCAAAAAGCCATCTCCAAAGTTGTTGCTTTAAAGATACAGCCAGTGCAATCTTTTCTATGCCACTTGTGAGGAGTTTGGAGATTTTGCAGGTATGGATCTGAGCAACTGAGTAGTTATTTCAGTGTTATCTAGTAGACATCGCATGGTCCTGCCCAACTGTCATATGTTATTGAAAAATGATACATTTATTATTTTTAGAATGCTAGCTGTTGTTGCTGTTTGTATTGTGCTTTTACTGTTTTTACTATCACATTGGTTTTTATTTCATGTTCTGTTACTGCCTTGGAAATGCTGCTACCCAGGAAGGCAATCAAAAATTTTTCTAAGTAACTTAAGAGGGCACAAGGATGTTCAAAACTTGTTTTCAAGCCACTTGGAAATTATACCATATAGAAAAAAAGTATTATCACAACATGGTATCTCTGTAGAGAAAAAGGAAGTTTTTCTACTTTTCTGTAGTACTTTTCTTTTATCTAGCATCACAGCAACGGAAAGCCTCAGTTTGGAAATTATTGAAGAGAATTGTTGCTAAAAATGGATTTTGTGGATTATTTACAGGTAATTTTTTTCTGACTTTAAGATATGTCTATGGAAATATCACATAGTACAAAACATATCAGAGTTAATACTACATGGCCTAAAATGTTTTATGGTCTATTCGCAGTGGGCAATTATCAGATAAGCAACATAACAAATCCTTCTTAAATATTATTAGTAATGAAAAAAAACTTAAGCAATTACTTTACATACAAGACCCAACTGATACTTAGATTTCTTTTAATCATGCAGTTTTCACTCAACAGTTTTCTTCTACTGCTGTGTGCTTGAATACTTGTAATTTTTCCTCTCCATAGGGATTATTCCAAGGCTAACAAAAATCGCTCCTGCTTGTGCCATAATGATCAGTACATATGAATATGGAAAATTTTTCTTTCATAGATTAAATAAAGACAAAGATGTGAAGAACCATTAGTGCTGCTTCTGTAAATTTAAAATTGGACCATTGACCAGTATGCACAAGGGACATACCAAGGGCCATACAAAAAAACGTTGCATCCCAAGGTACAGTTCATAAGCCTGTTTCACATCATCCATGCTATCTTTAAAAATGTGTTGCACAGAATGCCTACCTAAGTTCTTAGTTATAACTAGTATTCTCATCTTGGTGGAAAACTTGCAATTGATGCAAGATAAGCTGCTCCACCTTGTGAAGTACAGATTGTGAAGAAGATTGTGTACATGAATGAGGCACACAACTGAATCCCTTCAGCTGCTACACAAAAATTGCTAATGTTTAAAGAAAACTGCCAATATCCAGATCTGGAAATTTTGTATGCTGCTACCTATCCTGAATTTTCAGGATACCACTGCCGAGAAACTACCACCATTATCTGTTAAAAGGATGCAAAATCTCTCAAGAACAGTAGAAATGTTTTACACATGAATTTTCATACATTGCTGTATAGGTGTTAGGCAGATTGGTACCCACCATCTAGCAATAAACTGTGCATATGGTACTGTATCCTGGCAAAGGGATACTGAGCTATTAAATACACTTGATAAAACAATGCACATGCACTGTAGCAGCACAGATATACCTTGGAAGATTCCTCACCACCACACCTGTTTCTTACTATACTTGTATTTACTAATAAAACTTGTAAACGATGTCAGGTCCTTCTTTGTGTTTTATTAGCACACTGCTGTCTTTGTCTGCTTGTGTTGGCTGATTCATTTGTCTTGTCCCGTTTGATTCCTTGCCCTCTCTGAAGCTACTTTCACTCATCTCCCCTGCTTTTGCTGTTTCAAACAAGAAAAATCTTATTTAACTCATGCCACCAAGTCTCCCCCCTCTTGCCCAGACCTTCCATTGTATCTTCCAGTGAAAGTCCTCTTCCTTGCCGTCTGCCCAGTCCTCTTAAAATATATTTAATTGACAGCAATACTGGCACCATAAGAATATACAAGCCAAGAGGTCAGTGGGGTGAGCTTGAGTATAGGAAGAGTGACTGAATGAGAAAAAGAATGCTGCAGTTATTGCAAAGGAAAGACCATGGATATCTTGAAAAGATTTCCTTTGAAGAGATTAGGCAAAATGACCCTGCAAGGGATAAAAAAGGATAACCATGCATAAATATCCCATTAGAGTCCTTAAACATCAGTTTGACCCTGCTGTTGAAGCATTTTACAGCTATAAAACTCGCCCTTAGATCTGGTACAACCAAAATTTGTACATGCAGGGAATCCTGAGACCCTGTAGTTGGAGGAATTTTCCAATTAGTTCGTTCTTCCAACTTTATGACATTAGCACTGAAAAGCTTCAGAACAAGCCATGCAGCTTCTAGTTGTTTTGCACAGGGTGTGAATGTAATCCTCTAGTGACATTTGCACAGAAAATCAGAGGAACGGATCATCAGACCTAGAACTGAACAGGTCATCCTGAGTTGCTGAACTTACCCAGAGATCTGTGAAGCTGCTCGCTTCAACCTTACTCTAATACTAAGCCTTGAGTCTTACATGGTGTTTCTTTCCCTTTGACTCAGGTAGACCCCAGATGCAGTGTGAGCCAAGTCCTGCAATGATTGAGAAGAGTGGTAACAAACATTTGCTATCTTTCTCCTTTGTGAGATCCACAGTGTGGATTGAGGAGCAAATGGCTCAAGCAGGAAGAGTTTTCAGACAACAGCAAAAAACAAAAAAAACCTACACCAGCTGCTTTTTGGTTAAATATTAGGTCCCTTGGATAGGAAAGTCTATAGGAACAGAAGAGGGTTCTAGTGGCTCTGAGGAATCAGGAGTATTTAACCAAAAAGACTATCAACATTCACCCATTGACAGTTATACACATGACTGTGTTAAGGGAGTCTACAGTATGAAATGTCAAACTGCGTAAGTTCCCTTTTATAAAAAATAAAATAGAGAATGTTTCCCCAGAAAAATCCCATGGGCAAGCACTGCAGGAGGGAACAGAGGAAGGGTAATTTGAGGACACAGGGCTCCTTCAGGGTCATTACACACAGCTGGCTTACAAGGCAGGCATAAGTGCTTCAGCTGCTCAGTAAAGCAGAATGATCACAGGAGGTAGAGTAGGAAAGATGGAGGCTGCCACACAATATACTGCTATACCAATTTCAGGAACAGAATTTGGTTTCTAAAAGGAACAGCAGCATTTCTGGCCACTCTTGCACAAAGACTTGGTGGCTCTTTTCAAGAGCTCACAATAAAATTGTTTTGGGATCTTACAAAATACCAATCCATTATGCTATGATCTCTAAAAGCAATGAGTTGTGGCACCAAAATAAGCCAGCCTGGGGAAAATAGCCTGGTTTCACAAGATACAACAACCTACTATGGCCAGCTAGCACTATGGGTTGCCATGGTATGCAGACCCAGACCAAATAGAAGCTGCACACACAATCCTATCTAATGCAGACACATCTGCAGTATTAACTCTATATACCCATCTATACCTTGCTTTTCCTCCCAAACTCCTTGGACCCCAACCTATTCCATTAAGGCTCTAGCTTAGCCCCCAACCCCATATGAGAGTTAAGGGATTATTTATGCATTTGTGCAAATCCTTTATTACCTTCTCTTCTCCCTGTTCTATTGATTCCTCAGTTGTTGAAGTTTTGTATATAAGCCTCTCGGGGCATAAGCCTCTTTGTGTTACTTTGAAGCATCATATACAGCCATACATAGATGATGCAACTGATATTATGCAGTGAAAATTCAACATTTATGCTAATTTGAGGACTCTTGATGAACTGCAATAAAATACCAATTATTTAAAGGAACAAGGGGTCTTAAATGTTAATAAATTTTCTGGTGGGAAATCAGTGCAATGCAAACCTGCATGATTTGGGTTTGTCCAATTCTGCCACCCACTGAAAGCTTTATGTTGACTATTTGCTCAGTTCTACTGAACAGAAATAGGCAAATGTTCTGTCATCAAGGAAAAGTACAACTACAAAACGTTTAATGTACATGCAACATTTGATACAGCAAGGCAACAAATATGCACATTTTAAAAAATAATTCTGAAAACTTGGCAAGATTTCAGAACCAAGACAATAACCTTTCATGCACAAATATTGACTCAAATGGTTTCACACACACTAGAGAGTTTAGTTATGGTCTGTAAGGGACTGCTCCGGCCAGTCATTAATTGGTGTAACAAAGTAAATGGTTCCAAATCAACAATATACTAGTCCCAGAAAATTTTCACATACAAGCCTGCTTAACATTACTCACACATCTCTAGAAACTTAACTGCACAGAAATAATTTTTCCTCATGTTTTAAAGATATCTATTTTACAAGAGATAACATGCATTAAATTACTTTTATTATATTGCCAGAATGTAACTTCTGGCAGACCAGGAGTGCTATCTTGTCTCAAAACTTAATGCAGCACATATGTAACACATTAAATTTACCGACAAAGAGAAGCATGTAATTATCTGCTTTCTCATTCCAAATCTTTATAGCAAGTCTTAAAAGAGGCACATCTGTTTAGCAAAAATAAATTAATAAACTTACAGTCCAAAAGTTACCTGGACATCCCACTTGATGCTGCTCACTAGAAAATAATGAAAGGAACTTCTTTGGCACAATAAAGCATTTCCTTATAGTCATCGCCTGAGGCTCTGTGTGCAGCAATGGTTTACACAAAATTGCCTGTGATTAATACACGTAACCAGTAATGGTGAGAAACTGATTTTTCACAGCAGAAAGGCTTGTCCTTGAAAAATGCATAACTTCAAAAACCATTAAGACCATATAAACATTGGGTTGATAAAGCTTACTGATAGGTTCACCAGAAGCCCTCTATTTTAAAACATTTTACTGCAGAGCAAAGTAAAACGTACTTCAGATGTACTTAAGAACATCTGAACCTAAAACTTTTGTGAAATATTCTTAAAAGTCTATTTTCGTACTTGCTAGTAGGAGACAAGCATTCTTAAGAGGAGCCACTACTGAAAGTAACAGGATCTCCTACCTTGACATTAAGCTGTATCATAGACACAAAAATCTGGAAGACTGCCAATTTTTGGTACAAGTGGTTCAGTGTGTCCAAATGTCAAATATGTGGAGTAACTCTGATGAAAGTTGACTGTAATTTAGTCAACTCATCAGCTAAAACAACTCTGTAGTATAATCCAAATACAGATGTAGGACTAATGGTTATCATTGTCTGAAGTGGTTTAATTTTTAAATAATTCATCATAGTAGAACAAAAGTCAGACATTTTTCTATACATTCAATTCTAATGCTATTTCTTTACCTACCACTTTAAGTTATCCTTGAAAATGTAAGCATATCTAAAAAAAAGTTCAGTAAAGTACTCATTTGGAGTCAGCAACTCATGCAGAAAAGACTGGTTCTTTGTGGCTAACGTAACCATCTTTTTGTCTTATGGTTGGAAGCCTTAAGTATACATTCAACAGTAGACTGAAAATCATGAATATCATTAATCAAGGAACATATACCCAAGAAAGGTTTTTTTTCTTTTTAAAGACTACAAGTCACTAGATTTTTTAGATTCGCAAATACAGACAGTAGCCATTTCTATACATTGGGTTAAACATCTATGAATCTTGACAGTCCATAAATTGTATACAAATACAGGTCTTCTTTCTATAGATCTGTTCAAGAAGGAGTTAATCCAGGACTTGTCATCTCAGTTGTTGGGCTTGCAAGATATTCACTTGATTTCAAACTTGTGAGAGATTTGTAACTTGCTACTGATGTCAGAGAGCCACAAAGGCCAAGTAATGAAGGAGTATCTTCTTTCCCTATTTAAAAAAGAGTCGATTGGAACAGGTTTTCACATTTCTTAAATCAAATTTGGCAGCATCAGCTGGCTTTTCTTCCTTTCCCAACTATTAACCCTTCAACCAAGCAGCTGTTATCTTAGGAGAGAGGAAGACTTAAAAAAAAAAATGCAACCTAACCTTTACACTGCTCAAGGCCCTAAAAGGTACACAGGCTTTACTGGGCCTCAGCTTCAACACAGTTCAGTTGAAGAGATGAGGAATAACAAAGTGGGGCTGGTTCTCTCTTCCTACAACCCTCAGCCCTTTAACCAGTCACAGTGCTTTCCATTATTATAGGCTTGGGATTTCTAGTCCAGTTCTCAAAGGCACCAGTGTGTCTATAGACAACTTTTCATGCCTGCTAGGCTCTCTGTTCTTTCTTGTTTTCAGTAAAAAAATTTCATTAAAAAAGTGTGGAGATTTCCACACTGCAAAATGAATTAGTATCCTCCAGTGTCATCTTTATTTGGATTCCAAAAAGGGTTCTCTGTTTTGGAGCTCAACCCCCGCTTCTACCTTGTAATTAGGTTCTTGAGTAAGTTACTTTTCTTTTGGTCTCATCTATTTTATGAATGGGTAAGCATCTGTTGGCAACCATTTTGTATGAGTATGCACAACTCAAAATTCCAAATGTACCCACTGACCCAAAAAATTGAGCACTCCATCTGCAAACATGCCCTAGGTTCCATTTCTTGGGCATCATACAGTAAACAAACGAAAGATTCCACAAGTGCCTTGCATTTTATTGTTGCCATGGAATGGTGGGAAGAAAAATAATATAAAGTTAGGATTACAGAGAGTTAGGAAGTTATAGATTAAATTAAAAATGTTATAGCTGACTCCTGTTTCAACCGCATCAACAAGGCCCTAATGTTTCTTTCTCCTTGAATTAGCAGTTAGGGTTGACCTTTAATTTATTCTAACCAATATGCTGATGCAAAGTAGGGGCTTATGTCAGCTTTCCATGGGAGACATTAACAATGCTTGACCAAATCCCATGCAAAAATTTTTCAGCTGGAGTTAGCTGGGGAAATCATGAGAGATCCATGACATCTGTTTATCAGGAATGTAAAAGGACTGCTGATTCCAGATTTCATTCCAACAGCACACAAGATAAGTTACCTGCTTATCTTTGAGATCTGGTTTGTTTAGTAGCTAAAACAGTTATGGTACCATAGTATGCTCATTTTGTCTTAAAGATTTATTTGTTTAAAGTGCAGATGGTGTGGTTCGGTCCAAGAGGATTCTGAATATCAGTATTTATTTTATTTATTTATTTATTTAAAACATTTCTATGCTGCCCCGTTCACCAAAGCCTCAGGGCGGCTCACAACATAAATCAAAATATAATACATTAAAAATATAAAACAAATTAACAATATAAAATAAGTCACCCTGGCCAGATAAAATAAGCAAATAATATTAACAATTAAAATGACGTTTAAATAAAAAGGTCTTCGCCTGGCACCGAAAAACAAATAACGATGGCACCAGGCGGACTTCTCTGAAGAGTGCATTCCATAGATTGGGCGCCACTGCAGAGAAAGCCCTCCTCTGAGTACCTACCCTCCTAATTTCTTTCACGGAGGGTTCCCGGAGAAGGGCCTCTCCCACAGATCTCAAGGGGCGGGCGGGCGGATATGGATGTAAGCGCTCCTTCAGGTAACCAGGACCCAAGCCGTTTAGGGCTTTATAGGTCATCACCAACACTCCATGGGCCTGCCTAGTGCCTCTTAATTATTAAAGTGCTCTGCTACTCTATATTTAGTAAGTGGTGGCAGCTTTACCACCCTATGGGTTATCTAACTGCAGGTAAATCTTCAGTAACAAAGATAGGGCATTCAGATGCTTTCCTTGTGACTCCTGGGGTTGCAAGGGCATAGGGAAAGGTGAAGACTGAGGAATGCTAGGAGCATCCCTCAGCTTAATTTCAGTCTGCCTCTTCTAAACAGAAATGAACACACTTAACCCAGACAGGAAGAAACAAACTATAACAGCCCTAGTTCATCTGCAGAGAAAGGAATAAATTTAACAAATACCGTTAATTATATGAACTATGGTGTGATCTCTGTGTATAATTCTTGTTGTCATGGTTCAAAATTGTAGAGATGTAGACGTTTCCCAAAAAAGGGCAATCAAAATTAGTAGGAAGCTGAAGCAATGCTCCTATGACAAAGGGTCGCCGTGATGGTGGCCTTTTAGTTTAGAAAAATGTTGAGTGTTGGGGGGAAAGTGAAAGTGTGTAAACGATGCATGCTGGGGAGAAAGTGTATCAAGAATGTTCTTTCAGATGACTAGAAGCCAGGGTTTTCCCATGAAGATAAAAGATGTGAGATTCAGGACAGACAAAAAGTAAGTACTTATTCGCACAGCACATAGTTACACTATGAAATTAGCTACAGCAGCATGCTGATGGCCATCAACTTAGATGGCTTTAAAAGGAGATTATACAAATTATGAACAAGGCTATCAGTGACTGCATCATGGCAGCAATATACTATGCCTGGTATCGAGCAGCATGCAAACAGCAGGGAAGCCCTTATGGTCCTGCATTTGGTTTGCTATAGGCAGCTACGTTGACCACTGTTAGCAAAAACATGCTGGACTGTGAATACTCCTTTGATCTGATCCAATACATCAGCCCTCTTCAACCTGGGACCCTTTAAATCCATGGGACTACAAGAGTGCCCAGCCATCCATGTAGTCCAACACACCAGAACAGTGCCAGGCTGGGGAAAGCTGCAGAAAAATGTTTTCTTCTTTCATAAACAATTTTGCTTTTGTAACTATCCTGTATCTTTGTCAATATTCGCCAATTGTGAATGTAACAGTAAATGGTCCATGCAGGTGTTGTTTAATCTGAGCTGCTTGGTTTGAAATTGCTAGCGAGTAGAAAGTGCCAGGTTGGTTTTAGTGACTGGTACAACTAGAAGAGCTAAAAACCATTTTTTATCACAATACTAACACATTTGATTAGATACCAAGAAGTTCAAGGATGAACACACTTTTAGAAACAGAATGCTTTTTTTTAATATGCACGTTTTAATCAACATTGTGGTTATTCATATTTTATGTTAATTCTTTTGAGCCACATCTAATTAGAAATTATAGCTGGGCAATGCAGTTGCCCTACATTTTCAGATGTAACAATCAAATGGAGCAATTTCATTTTCTAACAAAATATTGCTCTGCAGTTCTGTGAGCTCAACAGATTTGACTGTTAAGCTTCTGTTCTCACATTATGATCAATAACGGAGGAATATGGGAAGAGGACCCCAATTTGCTCCCGGAACCAAGATGGAAAATACATGTGGCAAGCAGCTCATACACATAAAAGGCTAATATACAGTGTTCCTAAGTAGTCTTTATGCCACTGCATAAGGTAATCTAGGAGTCTACTTTATGATACTGACTAGGGTAATCAAGTCCCAGGAAGCTTTTTTAAGTGTACAGAATAAAAAGTAAGTGGTGATTTAGGCCTGAATTCTCATTTATATCTTCATATTGTTTTAATTAATACAATTACATTGTCTCATAACAATAATCAAAAAGTCTCTTTCAGTCAAGATTATAAGATGCTCTTGTGTATAGGCAGATAACATTGCACAAACACTTCTGGAATTCTGTGTCTATGATCCTGACAGTTGTTGGAATTCTTATGATTCTCCTTGACTGCTTGTTAGGAGTACCACAGGTAGAGATGCATCAAAGCACCATAAAAACCAAGCCTCTAGCATTTGCAGACTTTCTCTCATGCAGTCTTGGAAAGTGATTCAAGCTGAGCAAGCCCACAAAATGCTCACAGAATGAAGCTGTGCAATTGGCAGCCTGCTTCCACATCATGTGCACTAACACAAAAAAGGTAGCAGCACATGATGCTGAAGCAAGAGACTGCACAGCGTTCGCACAGGGCTCCACTCCTGGTGAGTGCCACACGAACACTAGACACACTTGCCAGGAACTCAGGCTCACAGCTGCATCAAAGCAGACTGGAGTCCAGGGAGCCAAGGCCAGAGAATCCAATGGATTCCTTCCCACAAAACAGGTTTCTCTCACATCCCTAACTACAAGTTGCAAGCTAGATATATAAGGCTATACAGCTGTGTTGTATCTGGAAGGGGTTTTCAGTGCAATTCCAACAGGATACTACAGCGCTGATGGAGATTTGCACTGGTACCCATTTTCACAATTTATTGTTAATTAAAATGTCATAGTGCCAAGTTCTCCATCCTGTTCATGAACATTCTCCTGATGTGCTGTTTAGGAGCAGGAAAAGAAGAAAGAGTTGCGTCCTGGTTCTGTCCTAGCCTCCTTTCTCGCCCTTCCTAGCCCCTATCCTTGCTCTTTCTCCCCCATGCTCCCTATACTTTGCTGTTTCCACTCTCCACCTTGCTATTTCTCTCCCCTCTATCTTCTTCTCTTCGCTGATTCTTCCCCATCCTAGTGCTTAGCCTTGCTCTATGTCCCCCTCTCTCACCTTGCCTTAATTTCCCCTCCCTCCCAGCTACTACCCTTGCTACTTCTCTTCCTACTGCACACGCATGCCTCTTTGGACTAGCTAGTCCCCCATGGCAGGCAGTGACTGGGTTCAGATAAGGTCAGCTTTCACTGACATACAGGTTATTGTGCCAACTTAAGCCAACCATATTAACCACAAACAACTCACAGTCACAACCCAACACCAAACCATGGGTTCTCTTTGTAAATGTTTCATGGTTAACAAACCAGGGTTTGTTAGTCTGGCTGGGTTCAGACAATGTGAAAGCAGGTTGCTTACCTGTAACTGATGTTCTTCGAGTGGCCATCTGTGCATCACACATATGGGGTGCTGCGCCTGTGCAGTGCCTAGGCCGGAAGATTAGAAAGCTAATGGTTTTTGGTAGGAAAACTCCGCTCCCCTTCCCCTCAGTACTATATATAGAGTGGAGTGTCCGCCATTTTCTCAGTCTTTAAAAGACCAATTGTTCACCCCCTTTCGGGAGAAAAAATATTACAATAAGTTTAATATATATATACACACCATGACTATAAGAGCATGGTACCGACAGACGAATCCACTCACTGACACCGAGCAAGGCCGGCGGGTGGGTTGTGTGAATGCACAGATGGCCACTCGAAGAACATCAGTTACAGGTAAGCAACCTGCTTTTCTTCGTCGTGGTCTCTGTGCATCACACATATGGGTGACTAGCAAGCTTACCAGACTCGGAGGAGGGAGGTGCTCTATGCTGTCTCCAGCAACCGAACAAGCCTAGACATGAGTTCCCCGAAAGTAAGGTGGGGCTCATCTGGGGACCCTGGGCCTTGAGAAGTAATGGCCACATCCTAGTCGCCCTTGTAGCGGTAGTGCTTGCTAGATGATGAATTCCTCGGTGAAGTGGGGTGCCTCCATTCCCCACAGCCAGACGTGGTGGGTGCCTCCCTTGGGACCGATGGCGATGGACAGTCCCATGCCGACGGGTAATAGCCGAATGAGTGGTATTCACCCCAGCCCGTGAAGCCTCCGTAGCTGGGCTGGTTGCAGTCTTGGGCATGCCTTTCAACGGAAGCGGCTTCGGTGTCGAGGTGGTGAAAAGGACTCCGCGGCTGGGCCGGATGGAGGCATTGGGGTTGGTGAGTGGGCCCTCGGTGGGGAGTCAGATTTCCCCATCTGAGATAGACTCCCGCATCGGCGCCTCAGACCGTCGAGGGGACGCACTCTCGGCTCGCACAACGCATCTGGGGGATCCCGGCAGAGTAACCTGCATAGCCGATTGCAGTGCCGGTCCTGATGGGGTTGGTACTGTAGCAACCGAGAGCTGGTACCGAGAGCCCAGACGAACCCGAACCACCATGTTTAGAGTGGTCGGGCTTCTTCCCCTTGTGAGCTGACTTGTCTGCCTTGTCCTTCTTCACCTTTTTATGGCCAGAGGACTTATCGAAGCCGCTGTGCTTTCTCTTCTCCCGTTGCTTAGTAGGGGGAGAAGGAAGCTGTTGGGCCCCCATCGAGGAAGTGCCTTCATCCGAAGGACGCAATAAAGATGTGGCAGAGGCCGAGGCAGGGCACTGAGAGGGCGCGGCAGAGGCAGAGCACTGAGGAGGCACAGCCGAAGCAGAGCCAGGCTTTGAGACCAACTGGTCTGACTGCATCAGGGCCTGGTCTCAGAGCAGTTTACGGAGACGATTCTCCTGCTTCTTCCTGACCTGCTTGGTGAAGGCCAAGCAGTGGCCGCACTTGTCTGTTCTGTGCCCCTCACCAAGACAGAGAAGGCATAGATCATGCGGGTCCGCGGGTGGCATCTTGGAACCGCACTCAACACATTTGCGAAAGGTCGCTCACTGTGCCATCGCGAAAAGGAAAGAAGTAGATAGTGCAGAGGGAATAGATAATATTTTTGGTTTTTTGTTTTTGTTTTTAGAGAGAACAAGAGAAGAGATAGTTTCGTAACGAGGGAGAAACAACTTGGAAATACTAGAGAAAGAACTTGGAAATAAGAGATCAACGAGGTAAGTAGCAAGGGAAATATTTAATGCCAGAGCGAACAGGCACGAGGCACAGCAAACGGTGGTCTTTTAAAGACTGAGAAAATGGCAAACACTCCGCTCTATATATAGTACTGAGGGGGAGGGGAGCGGAGTTTTCCCACCAAAAACTGTTAGCTTTCTAATCTTTCTGGCCTAGGCACTGCGCAGGCACAGCACCCATATGTGTGATGCACAGAGGCCATGACGAAGAACAATCCAAAATTCAGTGCCAACTCACGGTCCATATGCAGCCTTGAGTGAGGATTATTGTGTCATCTGAATGAACCCATTTATTATGTGATTAGTCACATCTTCCATAAAAAACATTTTGTGATTGTGTGCACAGCAATTTCTCAAATGCCAAATATATCCAAAGATTTGGAAAGGTAAGAGACCCCTGTTTTAAAATACTGAAAAAATAAATTTTAGGCAGATTATTTTACCTTCACCAAGTGAATTTAATCCGTCCTGCTTCCCATCTCCCTCTTGTGAATGACCTGGATCCAGGGATGTCTGAGAAAGGCTAACATCTGCAGAGAGCTGATCCAGGCTGTGAAAACTCTTTCTGTAAAGTTCAACAACAAAAGTTTCATTAATTATATTTAAACTGTTTAATAAGAGTTAGGGTGTAATTAACAAATGATATAATATGAGTGGAGAAAATGATTAATTGCTACTTTAGCAGAGAGCATCTTCCCACTTCAGGTAGTCCAGACAAATATGCTGCACAATAAATATAATGTGTAAGTAACATGTCAGATCCAGACTTAATTATCATACTTAAGGTTGAAAAAAAGACTTATTGTTAATCATGCGTGAATCATAGATCATTGTTTTCGGTGGGTTTACTTGAAATATGATTAAAAGTGGTTCCAATCCACAAAGTTTAAGGTGTTTAAGTAAAACTATATGAAGGAGGAACAGTACAGGTATAATCTTGTACTCAGTTACTCAGAAACATTTTTCATCATTTAAACAGGAGATGTTCATGAGAAACTTCACAAATCTAGACAAGGATGCAAACTCAGAGGAAGTTATGATTGGCACTCAGGCAAGGAGTTACGCACTTATGTTCCATACTTTTAAGGTTTTCACATTCACCTTTTCCACATGTGCCTGACTGTACTTAAGAACTGAGAGGTTCATCTCCAAGCTTTTCTACAATATGAGGTGGAATAATGGCTTTTCAGTGGTGGCATTTCATCTTTGGAAAGTTCTTTGCAGAAAGGATCACCTATAACTAACTTTGAGCTTTTCCCAGTGCTGGGAAAATAACTTATCATCCCAACATTTTAATGTGTTATGATTTCTATAATTCTGCATTGTACATAATTTAATGCTAATTCTATAGATGTTATGTTCTAGCTTATTTTATGTATATATTGGTTTGTTATATTTTAATAGTTATTGTAAGCCACCCTGATAATCTGATTAAAGGGCAAAATATACATCTCAACAAATAATAAACATTCAATGACAGTGTATCACTGGTGTTTTGTCAAGTTCCAAAGATACTTAAGCAATGTTAGTTAAGTTATCTGTAACTCGCTAGTGACAGTAACAGCACCCCTCCCCATATATTTTAGATTATCCAATGACATCTGCAAGCTTTTCCATGGCTGTAAATAGGTTGTGATATTGCACATAAGAGTCAGACAAAACAGCCAACAACCAGTTGTTATCAACATCAACTTCCTTATCTAGTTCATATGTAATTTTATTCCTGGGTTCCTTAACCCAGAAGTTGCTGATAATTAGCAGGAGCAAGCAAGTGTGCTGCCTCCAACACACGTCTCTTCTGCTCTCAACTAACAACCTACGAACACCCATCCCTACATTGCTACCATGATGTCCAAATCTGGATCCTCTGGGATATTTTGGAATTAAACAACCAATAATTAACCCAATGAAAAACTGAGTTCAGGCCAGAAACAGGCCAGGCCAGAAATTTCAGGCCAGAAACAGGTTATATAAAAGTGGGAGTGGCAAGTGGAGAGGAGGCAGCAAGCTTGCTTCTGCTTCGTCTTCACAACAATGCCTTAAACAACCCAAGGGTACTGTTATGTGTGAACCAGGCCTCTAAGCATGAAAATATGCTTGAAAGTAAGGTGCCAAACTCTGCTGAGATGTGAAGTTCAACTAACACAGAAAGGCCTTTAAACAGCTACTTACATGGGTCTAGATTTTGGCCAGAAGCTAGAGGACTGACTGAATAAAATATACAGTGATCCAAGGCAGTGCTTCAGGACAGTATGACTATCAGTATAAGAATTATTCACAAAAAGGGTTTTGAAATTATTAAATATAAAAAGTGCCAAATTCAGCCCATTTGTATAATTCAAAGACTGGAAAAAAATAAATGGTGCTGTGTACACAGTCTAACCACCAGACTGACCAACATCTTCCTTTATATTACAAGTCTTTTCTCTCCCATTCATAGTTCTGAAGGTTATTAGAGCCAATCTCAAAAGTATTCTATGAATTTTATGTGTGCTCTGCTGGGAAAGTATGTTCCATCTGTCTCCCTCAAGTATTCCTTCACCAGCATGCCTATGCTCATGTCTTATCAAAATCAACAGAGCTTCTTCACACATTCTTACAATTCCCATAGCTGCACTAATCAGTGAGCCATTGCTAGAATCCCTGGTTCCCTTCCCCCTTAATCTGGCAATCCAAGTGGGCTGCTGCCATTTGTTCAGCTATGCCACATGAAGTCTACTGGCACTAGTATTCCCTGTCGTATTACGTGTATGGCTCATCCTTGCTGGTCAGAACATTTGTCTTCTGTCCATTTTATCATTTTTTCAATAAGAGTATAAACCAAAGTCATGTAGGGAATGAAAAACTCCCTAACATTTCAACTATTGCTGCTGCAAATGTGTTGTAAAATTTACAAGATTCTGATTCTTGTATTTTTGACAATTTTAAAGTCAGGTATAAACATGAAATGAAATAAAGCTAAACAACAAACCATCTGATAGTTGCAATAGCTGTTGCTTGCTGCAATAGCTATACTGCTCCAAATCAGACTGTCGCATTCTGTTCACACTGACACAGGCTAACCATTTAAGTATAATTCTACAGCCTTGATGAATTGATTCTGTGAGAAGATGAAAAAAAAATAAACAATCAGGAGAGATGGCTAAACAAGAGGGATACCTGAAAGACTTGCTGGGAGAAGGTTGAGAACCATCCAACCCAGCAAAGTGCAAATATATCAGTTTATATAAACCAAATCTTGAGACTGTATCAGCTGCGCCCCTACCTGGAGTACGACTGCCTGGCGACGGTGACACACGCGCTGGTGACTTCCCGCCTAGACTTCTGTAACGCGCTTTACGTGGGCTTCCCCTGAAGACAGTCCGAACACTTCAATTGGTGCAAAATAGAGCTGCCAGGTTGCTGACGGGGACGGGGCGTTATGCTCACATGACTCCAGTCCTCCATCAGCTTCACTGGCTTCCCATTGAAGCCCGGGCCCAATTCAAGGTGTTGATTATGACCTATAAAGCCCTAAACGGCTTGGGTCCTGGCTACCTGAACGAGCGCTTACGTCCGTATATGCCCGAACGCCCTTTGAGATCTGCAGGAGAGTCCCTTCTCCGGGAACCCTCCATGAAAGAAATTAGGAGAGTAAGTACTCGGAGGAGGGCTTTCTCTGCGGTGGCACCCAACCTATGGAATTCACTCCCCAAAGAGGTCCGCCTGGCACCGTCGTTACTGGTTTTTCGGCGCCAGGTAAAGACCTTTTTATTTAAACATCATTTTAATTGTTAAAACATATGATCTGGCCAGGGCAACTTCTTCTTCCTTCTCTTTCTCCTCCTATATTTTTATTTACTTAATTTATACTGATAATTTTAATCTTATATTTGTAAATCAATGTATTTTTTGTATTTTGTATTTAATGGTAATTTATTATGTGCTATTGTATTTCATTGTATTTTATCGTGTTGTAAGCCGCCCCGAGGTTTCAGCAAGGGGCGGCATAGAAATGTTATAATAATAATAATAATAATAATAATAATAATAATAATAATAATAATAATTTTAAAATGTGGGATTTTGAGAGGAAGGAAGGTGTACTACAGAAGAACCTCTCCCTTGCCTGCATTTAACAGAACAGTAAGTAGGCAGCCATTACTAGAATTGCAGTTTCTGGGAAACAATATTATGTTTCCTACAAAACAGAGTCTATAAAAATAAACAGCTTCCATAGACATAGCAACTAAACCAAGCCCAAGAAAAGACAAATATTTGACTCTTAGCCACCACAGTTTTTACTAACCTTTTAAAATTGCAGATCCAATATGCATTTTGACAACACACCGCTTTGTAATAAAAAGTTCTCACATTTAGAGAGCCAGTAGCAACCTGAGGAGGACTTGTATTTAAAATTCAAAAGCAATCAATTTCCTTTGGAATACTTTATTGACCTTAGTGTATCACAAGCAGCATAAAGACACTATGTAAAATAAGCCTTTTTCCAGCAATTCTTAAAGTACCTTTATTTGGCAGGAAAGCCTGTTTCAAAAGAAATTGCTACTCAAGTAATTGAGTGACAACATATAGCCAATTGCAAAAAGTTTATCAAAACAGAATGCCACCAAATTTGAGGTAATATGCAGGTAGGTAGATCAATTTAAAATCAGAAAATTTTTATAGTTTACAGGCTAGTAAGATGTTTAATGCTGAAGTTCACATTTTATTTCAACCACTGAAGAGCTGAAGAAAAATGTATGTGTTTTACTTAAGGCTTGTGCCTGAGGGGAGTTGCACTGTACACTAACAAACCGGCAGTTACTATTACCATTAGGAAATGAAAATGAAGCCAGGTTCAATTTATTTGGTGAAGTAAGGTTGAAATTGGTGCCAGCTGATTAGGAACTAACTGAACATTCTAAGAAGGTCCATCAGCTCAATATTTACACAGAAAGGGAGTGACAGAATGTTTGTCAGCCCAAACCTGATTTCCTGAAAGGTTCAGTCTAGAAAAAACAACCTGCCATGATGGAGTTTGCCTGGAGAGTTGCCCAAAGAAATGTCTTCATGAAAGACTGGGGAGCCTGGAGAAGACATCAGGCATGAGAAAGAGGAGCTCCAATACTGAGCAATGCTGAGACCATGTGAGGCAGAAAGTAAAGGTTTTCAAGGGGGAAAAGGAGGATTCCAGAACAGTCTTCATAGGAAAAAGTTGAAGCCTGATTGACAGCTGGTGTGCTGGTCTGAAGACTGAGCTATTACTAGATCAGACTGAAGACTTCAGGGGTGATGAAGGTTCTAGGGAGAATCATGTTAGGCCTGGGATAGATGCTAACAAGGAAATGGGTTTGCAGCTGATTAGGAATAAGGACTGGGGTTTCTAAGATCAGACTAGAGGTAACATTAACAGTATAAAAGCACTGTTTAAAAGTACAGTGGTACCTGTGCTCATGAACACCTCAGTTCACAACCAAATCGGGTCATGAACAAAAACGTCATAAAAATTTTGACTCAGGTCACAAACTCATTGGGTGGCGACCGCGAATGAGGCCATCTGCCCCCCAGCCTGAGTGTGGAGATAGCCGCAATCGTGCTGGGAGCGGTGGGGGGGAGACAGCCGAGATTGCGCCCGTCTTTTCTGCATGGGTGCACCCATGATTGTTCCTGTCTTTCCTGCACGGGCGCAACCACGATCTTGCCCATCTCACCCCCAGCATGATTGGGCCTGTCTCCCACCCAGAGCGCACCCGCGATTGCATCCGTCTCCCCCCCCCCGAGTGCACCCACATTTGCACCCGTCTCTCCCCCTCCCACCAGCACACCGGGATGACAGGCACGATCACGGTTGTGCTGGGGGGGCGGGCAGATGGCCATGCTCATGCTCGGGGTGCAGCGGGAGATGGCCACAATCTTTGTTGTTCTTTGTCACTTTGCTTCACATTTGTCTGATTTAAAAAAAAAAGTTACAGAACAGATTAACCTTATTTACATGACCCTTATGGGGAAATTTGACTTGGCCCATGACCAATTTGGGTCACCACCAGAGTCGTGGAACAGATTAAGTTCGGGAGCCAAGGTACCACTGTAGTGGTGACATTTTTAAAGCAGTAAGATTTTCTGCTTTCTTTTAAACAAAATACTTCATACATCAGAGACCAGCTATATCAGGGGGGAAAGTGTGTATTAAATAAAAAGAGTGCAGCTTAATAGTAAGACAAGAAGTAAACAGATGTTTACCCAGTGGTGAGGAATGATCCTCCACATCTGAGGATAGCTAAGTGCCCTAGGTTACAAGTTGTCAAGCATATGGTCCAAAAGCACCTGTTAACGAAGCTCTGAGAACCACTGTGACATGATGGTTAGAGTGTTAGACTGGGGCCCCAGGATATTTGGGTTCTAATCCCCACTTGGCCATGAAGTTTGCTGGGTAACTTTGAGGTAGTCATTTACTCTCAGCCTAACCTACCTCACAGGGTTGTTGTGAGGATAAAACAGAA